CATCCTCCGAGCGCTTCTGGTCCGCCTCTGGGCGATCTTGGGGCGTGCCCCTGTTCTGCTTTCATCCCTTCCCATAAGATCGGTCTTCACGACAATCTGAACGCGTCAACGCGATCTGATTCATCTGCTCCTTGACGCCTCCTGCGGCGACGAGGACGGTGAAATGGTAAAGATGCGGATGTGGATGCTGCTGCTGCTGGTGGGGGCAGCGGGCTTGGGAGCGCGTGGGGAGCGATTTGAGTTCCTGGGAGCGCCACTTGGAGGCGCGCTGTGAAGATCAGCCGATGTCCTCTGAATGGTTTTCTGTTGCAAGACATCGTGCGCGCTGGATGTGTGCGAAGATGAGCAGATTCGCCCCCAGTCGCGTATTTTGTAGGTCAGCTGGTAATGTTTGCAAGGGACAGGTGGGGTTGGATGGTTCTGAAGATCGACAGGTGTGAACCGCAGGTTTTTTCCCTGCTGCAGAAAACCGTGGGGATTGGCATCAGCAGATGTGCACCGAATTGTTTTTTTGGAGGGGGGATCGTAAAAGGTTGGGTAAGTGTGTGGATCCGACAATTTCACGCCATACCGTTCCGAGAATATATTGGCACAGTATGACACGATCTTACGATCAGCCGAAATGCGCCGCATTCCATGCTGCAGCAGATCGCACACGGGATCGCGGCCTTGGGCCGAATTGGGCCCGGTCTGGGGCTGGCCGGAGGCGCGTTTAAAAACTACGTATTTCGAGGATCTGGGACTGAAGGATTTCGGTCAACGTTCGGGCGTTGGTGTCAGGGTGTTAGGATTTGGGTGATAATCTAGGCCTCCTAGATGGGGTCGGGGTAGATGGGGTCGGAGGATCGCGCCGCATCGCCGATGCATCGCCGATGCGGCTCGATGTGCAGCCCGATTTGCGTCACGTCGACGTCGCCGATGCATCGCCGACGTCGACGATGCATCGCCAGTGCATCGCCGATGCATCGCCGATGCATCGACGATGTATCGCCGATGTATCGGCGATTCGGCGCGATCCTCCGACCCCATCTACTCCGACCCCATCTAGGAGGCCTCTAGATAAGGCCAATTCGTCCATTGTCCTGATCATTCCTCCCTGCCCGACCTCTTTTAGCATTTGGAACGCGCCAGCGCAATCTGATGCATCCATTTTTTGTTTGTGTTCATTTATCCTGCGGCGACGAGGGCGGTGAGCTTGTAAAGCTGCGGATGTGGATGCTGCTGCTCGTGGCGGCGAGCGTGGGAGCGCTTGGGGAGCGACTGGAGCGTCTGGGACTGCCTGTGCACGTCTTGGAGACCTGGGGGCGCAGTGTGCAGATCAGCCGATGTCAACATAATGGTAATCGGTGCCGGGATCGTACGGGTTGCACGGATGCGAAGTTGAGCAGGCGTTCGTTGAATCATGAGTTTTCTCCCAACCGTCCTGGCATTGCCTCTGCTCTCCGCGTGTCCACCATTTTGGCACACCCCTCGCGCGTTTTGTGGCCACGAAGGCAGTTCAACCGAAGGCCCCAGTGGCTGCGTCCGCATAAGTCCCAGCCGCCCGTTTCGGCACACCCCGCACACGTTTCGTGGCCCCATAGGGAGCCCCGCCGAAGGCCGTGGCGCCGTCCGCAGACGTCCCAAATGCCCATGTCGGCACAGCCGTCACACGTCTCGTGGCCCCCTGGGGAGCTCCACCGAACGCCCCAGCGTGTGCGTGTCCACGTGCGTCCCGACCCGGTGGCTGCGCCCACAGACGTCCCAGCCGTTCATGCCCGCACACCTTCCACACGTCTCGTGTCCCCAGAAGGGATTCCACCGAAGGTCCCAGTGGTGCCGCCCGCATGCGACCCAGCCGCCCACGTTGGCACACCCCTCACCTTTTCGCGGCCTCCTGCGGAGGCCCACCGAAGGCCCCAGTGGCGCCGCCCACGTGCGTCCCAGCCGCCTATTTCGGCACACCCCTCACGCGCTCCGTGGCCCAATAGGGATTCCCACTGAAGGTCTCCGTAGCGCCTTTGCATGCGTCCCAGCCGCCCATTTCGGCACCCTAGGGAGCTCCACCGAAGGCCCCAGTGGGGGTGGCCCGCCACCTATTTCGGGACACCCCTCACACGTTTCGTGGTGTGGCCATAGGCGATTCCACCGAAGTTCTAAGTGGCGGCCCCGCCCCACTGCGGCGCACCCCTCACACGTTTCGCGGCTCTATCGTGGATTCCCCCTAACTCCCCAGTGGCAGCGCCCACATGGCAACCCCGCCCCATATCAGGACACCCTTCGCATGCTTCGTGGCCCCGTGTGGAGATTTCCCGAAGGCGATACCGCAACGACGGTAGTCACAACTGCATCTGGTTGGGTCGCTTGCCTGGATGATTTTTAGGATGGTCAGTGTTGGGTCGTTATGCAGGTCAGCCGATGTCCACCACATATTGATTGTTTCAACGGATCATGGGGTACGGACTGTGACTTATGTGCACCGAGTGGTACCAATTGCAAGGGATCGCACCACTGGGCATCCGCAGATGTGTTGGATGGGTGTGATCATCAGCAGGTGTGCACCGAAGGGAATTTCTTGTATCGGATGGTGAGCATTGGGTCGTTGTGAATGTCAGCTGATGTCCACTACATTGTTTTTCTGTTGCAAGGGATGTGGAGGACCTGATGGTCCTGGAGGTCAGCAGATGTGCACCGAATTGTGCCGTGAAGGCCATACAGTCGGGGCGCTGAGGAAGGAACCCTTTTCGCTGGGGAGGGGCTCGGTGTTCCTTGATTGTCTTGCAGTTTGCCTAGGGTTTTCCTGAGGTTTCCCACGGGAAATCGAAGTTTAATTTATGCGAAGCAGGGGCCTCGTTCCTTATTTAGGGTTCCTTCTGTCAACGCCCCGACTGTACGGCTGGTGCCGCCCACCCTGATGGCGGGACTTCCGCCAGGACCCCCGCTGGCGCCACTCCTCGGGGCCCGCCCAGGGGGGGAGGCGGTATTCTGACCTGAGATCGGCGTGTGATGCTATGCGTGCGTCGCCCCCGCGGCGGGGCGACGCGCGCACCGAGAAAGCCTATAGTATGTGCATCGTGGCGGGCGCTTTCTGGCCGTACCGCTCGGGAAACGAGGTATTACAGTATTGGTTTACTAGATGTTCGGGCCGGACGCGCGCCTCCAAGGAGGACATACAGTATCAGCATGTCTCTGCGCGTCCCACGGGACCCCCCCACCCCACCGCAGGCGGGGACCTCTCCCGGGACCCCCGCAGGCGACGCCCCCGGAGGGGGTGGTCCCGTCGTCCTTTCGTCCTCAGGGGGGATTCCCCCCCCGCCTGGATCCGCCTGCCAGGACCCCAGCGCGGCGGTAATCTGACCCGCCCCCCCCCCCCCCCCCTATCTTCTGATTTCGAAGAAAAACCACCCAAACGTAAACTTTTGGCGCTCCGTGCGAATTTCTTTGATCCGCGCCTGTGCCCCCCAGCGGCGCCTCCGGTGCCGCCCCTGGAGCGCTCCGCGCGCCAGGGAGGGGGGTCCAGCGCGAATCCAAGAAATCCGCGCGGAGCGCCAAAAGTTTATATCATTGTCCCCTGTTGATAATCACCCCCCAGGCGAGCGGCAGCCAACCAGGACGAATGAGACTCCCTCCCCATCCCTGTCAAGAAACACTATGAAGTCCACTCTGGGGCAAAAGTTTGGGTCATGGTCGGGGGGGGGGCGCGAGCACTTTGACTAAATTTTTGACGGGGACGGCGGGAGTGTCCCCATATTGCCTGCTGCGCGCAGGCCAGCATCTCTGCCCAACAGAAACGAATACAACATGCACTTCGAGGTAAAGTCTGGATCATGCGCGGGCGCCCCGCGAACACCGTGCATTGGTTTCTGACTGGGACGGCGGGCGTGTTGACACATCGCGCCTGCCATGTGAAGGCCAACCAGACGCTGCGATGGCTGCCCCGCCGCGATTGCGCACCGGGCTTCGGCCCACACGTTCCCCGAGGTGTATTGCCGCGTGCGCAGGCGCGCCTGGCACGCTATATGCGCCTGCCCCGAACGTGGCGCACCTGGCGCGACCTGGAGCACGGGGCACACACGGCGCACGCGGATCACGCGGCGCATCTGGCGCACCAGGCGTCCCGGCACGCTCTCGGGCCGCAGGGGGTGCCTGGCGCAGCTGTCGCGCGTGGCGCGCCTGGCACGCCTGGGCGCACCTCGCCCCCCGCGCGGCGCACCTTGGGGGGCCTGTTTTTGGATCATTCAGTGCCCATCCAAAGACTACCGCTGAACACGCTGCGGCTCGGGTGCTACTTATGCCTTGGGAGGGCGGTCGGCAGTGAGCGAGACGGCCTGCGGGTAGGGAGGGTGTCTTGAACCCCCCTTCCCCGCCCCGTATCCCCCCGTCAGGGAGGGGAAGAAGTGAAGGGAGTCGACTTCACTACGACGTTCCGTTTCTCTGTTCTCTGTTCTGGGACAATCAGCGACGACACAGCGAAGACGACGACAGCGTCTCACACACGCCGAAGGGTCGGCCGAATCGTGTGTCTTTTTGTTTGCAGGGGGTCGTATGATTCTACGCTGCAGGCCATTCTGAGTATAGCCTTGACTCTGGATGAAACGGCCTCGCGAACAGCCGATGTGCGCCGTGGTCTCCTCACCGTTCCTTGGTCTGCTCCCTGTCTGCGGAGGCACCGTCTTTTGACAGTCTCCGGCCTCCGGCCTCCCCCTCCCCGGCCGCTCCAGCGCGCCCTCTGGCCAGCGGCGCGCCTCCGCGCGGAGAGCCGCCGGGTGCCGCAGGCCTAGAGGTCGACACCAACACCCAGATCGGCGGTGTGCGTCCGCCGAGGCAGGACGATCCCAAATCTCGGTGATGGTGGTATACCATCTTGGTTTCCAAGGTGACCGACATATTACCACCGACACCGACATCTAGGATCCGTTCCCCCCTGTGGAGGCAGCCTCTCGTGCTGGTGTGGGTGCCAACCTCCAGGCCTCCCAGGGTGGCAGCCGCCCCCCCCCGCCGCGCGCCTCGGGGCGGCGGGCATGGACGGCGAGCGCGCAGCCGCCCCGTCCGGCGAGTGCCTGCGCCAGCGCCACCCGGGGTTTGTGCCCATCGTCTGCCTCGGGGAGGCCGCCTCCCGACGGCGCCCCCTCCACTGAGGGGCGCCTTCTCCACCACCCCCTACCACAGGCAGGACGGGGGAGAAGGGTTGGACGGGGAGGTCCTCCTCCTCCCCCTTCCTTCTCCTCCCCCTCCTTTGCTCCCTCCCCCCCCCCCCTCCTTCGCTCCCCTCTCCTGCCTAGTGTAGCGGTGGTGGGAAATCGGCCCATCCTCCTCCTCTGGATCCTCCGGCGAGGACAAGGCACTCATGATACCGCCAGTCCGCCCCTTTGGGTCTCCTGAGATGCCGTCGTTGCCACCGCTGGGCTCGCCTCGAAGCCCTGGTCAGAATGCACCCCTGGAGACGTCCGGGCAGCAGCGGTATCGATATATGTTGGTTTCCTCGGATCCTCCCGTCCTCCTCTCCGGTCCCCGACGGGAGGAGGGGAGGAGCAGGAGGAGGGAAGAGGAAGAAGAGGCCGAGGAGGGTGAGGGCCAGCTGTGGAGAGGGGGGAATTTGGGGGGCAGGGGCGAGGGTCTCTCTCTCTCTCTCTCTCTTGTTTTTCTCTCTCTCTCTCTCTCCCTCTCTCTCTCTCTCTCTCTCTCTCTTTCTATATATATATATATCCCTCTCTCTCTCTTTCTCTCGCTGCTCCTCCTCATTCTTCCTCTGCTCTGTCGCAGGGTCGCGGGGCTTGCCCCCCCCCACGCAGGCACACGCCGCCCCCCTCAGAAGGCCGCAGAGAGACAGAGAGAGGGGGAGAGAGAGAGAGAGGGGGGGAGAGAGAGAGAGAGAGAGGGGGAGAGAGAGAGAGAGAGAGCACGGTCTCGGAAAGGGGCAGCTCCCCTCGAGAGGAGCCCTACTTAAGATACCGCTGAGGGGCTCCAGCGCCAGCAGGGACGGGGGGAGGCAGGGCCCCTCTTCTCGCCGCGGCTGCACGCAGGCGGTGGCGAAGCGTCCTGGCGCGCCTGCAGGCCCACCACACGCTCTTCTGAGAACCTGCTCCGCTGGCTCCTGCGCGGTGTTCTCGGGGCCTTCCTGGCCGGGCCGGCCCTGCCTTGGCACGTCGGGCTCCTGCCCCGAGAACGCTTTTTGGTTCTTGGGGGCTCCTGGAGCACCTCCTGGGGCTCTGAGGAGATTTCGTGGCGGGCCTCCCCGGAATGCGAAGGACCTGCAACTCCCTGAGCATGTCCTTCGTGAACCCCTCCTCCGAGAACGCGTGCTTCTGTTTGACAAGCTGTTTTGCAAGCTTCCTCGTTACTGGAACCAACGGCGTCCATTACTGCGCCCATCTCATTCGCCAACAACCCTCGCGGGCGATGTTTCTCCCCCAATCCCCGAGTTTCGCCCGAAAAGTCTGGCCGCTCAGAAGAATGGGAAAACCCTGGGATACACCCCAAGGGGGCTATTCGGACGCACCCCTATCGAGAATGGACCCCCCCCATCGTATATCCCAGGGTTAGGCCCCAAATTTCTGGTCCATTCGGAAACCCCACGAAGCCTGGGATAGGGGTCGACATATCCCCTGTTAAACCCGTCCAGTTCGATGTTGCGGCCGGTCCCTGCTCGCTGCACGCGGCCCGGAGCGGCGGCTCCCGACCCCCCGGGCGGCGCCGCCGCCGGGGCCCCGGCCGCCCCGCCCCCCCCCCCCCGAGGGCCCCCCCCGCCGGGCTGATGCAGCCCTGCCCGAGGGGGGCCTGCCCCCCGCGGCCCCCGAGGGGGGGGCGGGGGGGGCGGGGCGCTGCTCCCTCCCGCGGGGGGCGCCCGTGCCTCGGGCCGGACGAGAGGGGGGGGATTGGGAAAGCTTGGCATCGCTCGGACGTGTGCAGCATTTGTCCTTCGGCGAGGACCATCGAGGAGCATCCTTGACCATTTGGCGAAACAACCGCGCACGAAACCCCAAAAGCAACACAGGGAATGACTGGACGTCCAAGCGATGGCGAGAAAAGGGGGGATACGAAATCTGCTGCATGCAGCTGGTTTCGGCCCCTCCCAGGGGCCCATTCCTCGATGCATGCGCGCCTCCGGCGCCGGGAGGCGCTGGGACCATCAGCTACGTGAGCGGATTCTCAACCCCCCCCTTTGCTACCCCCCCCTTTCGCCCGGGCCGAGCGCTGCCTCGGGGGGCGGCCGGGATTCGCGCAGTGGCGGGGCGCTGTCCTGGCCGGAGCCCTCGTGGGCCCACCGCAGAGTGCTCCAAGAGCCCCCTGTGGTCTGCACGAGGTGCTCCTGGAGCACCTCTGGCTCGGGCCGTGCTGATTCAGCACCTCGGGCTCGTGCGCTGAGAGCACCGCTCCTGTTCCGAGGACAGCTGTGTGGGGTTCTATGAGAACATGTCGTGGTAGGCCTCTAGGAATGCCGGGACGGTCAGTGCCTGCTCAGAAGAGGGGGGTGATGATTCGGGGGGGATCTCGTGGCGGGGGCCGCGATGCCTACCCAGCTTTCATGGCATGGCGCCCTTCATGATATCACCTTGTCCCTGGCCTCCCCCCCCCCCCGGGCTCCGCGCATGCTGCCAGCTATGATTTACGCTCCCCCCTCGTGGCCGCCCCCCTCTTGGCCAGGCCCCTGGCCGTGCCCGGGGCATTGCCCCCCTCATGGAGCATGGTCAACGGCACTGGCCCCCGAGGATCTCCTGGGCCTCTTCTTGGCCCCGACGGGGGCCGATTCTGAGCGGATGTTCCCTTGCCCCCCCGCTGCTTCAGGAGGGAAGGAGCACGGACAGAACGGATCGTCGTTTCCTGGGACACAGAAACTATCTCGGAAGTGGAGGGCGAGAGGGTCATCCAGAACATACGGATCATGTCAGGAATCCTGGGAGTTGCCTATTTGTTTGTGTGTCCCTGGGCCCCTTCACTCTGGACCTCTTGTCTCGGGGCCCATCCATCAAGCAGTGGCGAAGCGTCCCGGCTCGCCTATAGCCCCACCAAACAATGTTCTAAGAACCTGTTGTGGTCTGCACGAGATGTTCTTAGAACATTTCTGGCCAGGACTGTCTTGGTTTCACACGTCGGGCTGATGTTCTGAGAACATGATTTTGTCCTTAGCACATGTGTGGGTCCTAAGAACATTTCGTGGTAGGACTACAGGAATGCCGGGACGGCTGGTCCCTGCTCAAGTCCAGCGCAGACCCGCCCGGCCGCTTCCACCCCCCCTCCCCTCCTCCTCGCCGTCCTGCGGGCCCGCCCCCGCGCCCGGAGGCCGCAGGGAGCGCCGACGAGCGGCCCGTGAGGCTCAAGCTGATGGTCCGCGCCACGTACACGATCTCGCAGCTCAAGCGGGAGACGCCCCCCGGACCCTCCAGATCTGGACGCCCGAGATGGGCACGGAAAGAATGGGTACAATGCCCTAACAGCAGTTCCTGTTCATTCTGAACAGGATTCGCTGTCCACGCTGCCGTGGCCTGTGTCCATTCGAGACAGAGGGCCGCCTGCCCAACAGCGGCCGCTGTTGGTTTGGGACAACACTTGTTGTTGGGCATTGTGCCCATTCTTTCCGTACCCATTTCGGGCGTCCAAACCAGAGCGCCAGCAAAAGTAGCCCTCCAGACCTCAAGCCCATCTGGGCAGCCCGAAGCCTCGACAGGAACTCATTCTGTCCAGGTCCTGGTGCTATACGTTCTGCCCCCCTCGAAGGTCGGGGTCGGGGGGGGGGGGGGCGCTCGCGGCGCCTCCGCGGAGATCCGGGCCTCCCGGACGGGGTCCGAGCGTTCAAGTGGGAGGCTCGCAGCTCAAGAGGGAGACTCTCCAGGCACAGCGAAGATAGGGGGCCACAGGCGAACCCTACCTCTACCCCCACAATTTCTGAGGGGGAGGGTGGGGTTCACTTCGTTCGGGAGCTCTCGAGCGAAGTGAACCCCGACCTCCCCCTCAGAAATCGTGGGGGGTAGGGGCAGGGTTCGCATGTGGCCCCCCAGAAGAACCACATCCACAACCGAGACGATTTTTCAGCAGGGCCCCTCGAGGGGGATCCCGACGACGTCGACATGAACGCTGCGGTTGTGGTTGCGGTGGCCTTGGCCGTCTGGGGCACCCACATCGATCACAACCAGCACAACGCTCGCTTCGGTGTTCGGGCGTTTGGGGGAATGTGCAAGACCTGCCCCAGGGTGTGCACACGATGTGGCCGTGGCCGCGTGGCCTGCTGTCCCCGCAGGCTCGGGGAGGAGGGGGGCGGCGCCCCCGCGGAGATCTGGGCATCCCAGATGGGATCCGAGCAGGTGTGGTCGGAGGATCGCGCCGCAACGCCGTGGCGTCGGCGATGCGGCTCGATGCGGAACCCGATCTCCTCCACGCCGGCGTCGCCGCGGCATCGCCGACGTCGCCGACGCACCGGCGATGCGGCGCGATCTTCCGACCCCAGCTGCTCGGACCCCAGCTGCTCGGACCCCGTGCGGGAGGCTTCCAGGAGAGCTCGGTGCTGCGCCCCCCTCGGCGCCCGACTGCTCTTGGGGAGGTGCGCGTCGGGTGGGTGTCTCGGGCTGCTTCGGTGGCAACTCACGTGGGAGCGTGGGGGTTTTTGTCGGCCCTCGGAGCGGAGAAGCTGCGTATGCGCCTTACCGCGTTGGATCGGGGCCTGAAGCGGCGGAGGAGGAGGAGAAGGAGGAGGAGTCCAAACATGGTGCGGTGCATGGACGTCGTCCTTGCTGCCGGGCATGTAAGACAATATTGGGTAACTAAGTGGGATGTAAGATGGAGCCCTTTAAAGGCGGGACGCGCAGGGTTGACAACATGAATGCGTTTCTCGAACACCAGAGCCTCCTGGGCTTCACTGGGAGGCCCGACAGTTTCCTGAAGTTCCCTCCATGCCAACAGCAATTTGTTCTTGTTCGAGCCACAGGACCGCCTGACCGCCTAGGCGCTTCCCTGGAGTCTGGGGCCTGCCAGCCTCCCCCTCTGGAGCAAAGTTGGTCCCCTCGTTAGGGGCCGAAGGTGATTTTTTCGGGACCCGAGCTTCTGATCCTTGTCCTTTCCTTTTGAGTCTCCTGCCACTGCTCCCCCTTCCAACATACTTTCTGTAATCCCTTCGAGCTTCTACAGGGACTGCGGCACAGCTCCCGACAACCACGGGAAGCCTCGAAAAGCCTTGTCCTACGGCTTTTCTCCACCTCCTCCGCCCTCATTACCATCCAGCCCCCAGGCGGGGAATGACTTGCGAGAAAGGCAGAGGAGGAGGAGGAGGAGGATGAGGATGAGGATGAGGAGGGGGAGGAGGAGGAGGAGGAGGAGGAGGAGGAGGAGGAGGAGGAGAAGGAGAACAAGGAGGAGGAGGAGGAGGAGCATGAGGAGGGAACAGGAGGAGGAGGAGGAGGAGGAGGAGGAGGAAGAGGATGAGGGTCAGCCACGTGTAGAGAGGGGGGAGCGTTTCTTACAAGCACCACTGCTTCTTAGAAGGCTCGGACTTTGTCTATAGATGTAAGGCTGGCGCCTTCTGAGAAACAGCATCCTTCTAAGAAGCCCTACCCTTGCCTCTACCCCCTTGTGCGCACCTCCAAGAGGAGGACTACGTGGTGCATGACGCGTATGGTGAGGAGGACGAGGTGACTGTGGAGGAGGAGGAGGAGGAGGAGGAGGAGGAGGAGTAAGCTGATAGAGGATGGGCAACGCGAGGAGGACGAGGTTGGTCGAGGGGAGGATGGAGGAGCTAAGCCCAGGCATCTGATGTCTATACTTGTTGTTTTACTACGGGTCCCCAGAGGTCCCCTTTCCTTAAGCATGGTTTTTCATCCCGACTCGTTGTTTGACCGTCCCGGGGCCTTGCGAGGGCCTTAGGAGGCCGGAAATTGCCGAACATCTTCCGTCGTGATTTTGTCCACGACGCGAGCATGTCTTGAAGGGTCCATCGCCCCTCTGCCCCGCTGCCAGGACATCTCGTGGCGCCTGCCCGAGGCGCCGGTGGACAGGCTCTGGCTCGGGCGCGAGCTGGCCCAGGACGACGCCGAGCTGGTCTCCGCGGTGGACGCGCGGCAGCGGGCGGAGGCTCCTCCTGGTCCTCCTCCCCCTCCTCCTCCTCCTCCTCCTCCTCCTCCTCCTCCTCCTCTCCTGGTTCCACCTCCTTCTCCTCCTCCTCCTTGTTCCACCTCGTTCTCCCTCATTCTCCTCCTCCGCCCTCCTCCTTCATCTCCTTGTCTTCCTCCTCCTCCTCCTCATCATCTGCTCCTCTCCCCTCGTTTTGTTTTTGTTTCGTTTGCGTCCTGACGGGGGCGCGTCCCCGCGCACATCCTTGCGCGTGGGCCGCACCAGGATGCCAGCGGCGCACGCGCCCTAGAGGCTCCAGGGTACGGCACATGCTGCCACTGCACCAGTGCACATTGCCCGTCACTCTCGCAAACGCTAATCCCCGCACTCAGGTGAACCCTCGCCTCCCATATAACCCCTCGCCTCGCACATCGCCCCCTCCTCCTCCTCCTCCTCCTCATCCTCCTCCTCCCGTTCCCTCCCTCCTTCTCTCTCCGTTCTGCTGGAGGACTGGGGGCGGGAGGGAGAAGGGAGGAGAGCAGGTGACGGAGAAGGGATAGAGAAAGAGGAGGAGGAGGAGGAGGAGGAGGAGGAGGAGGAGGAGGAGGAGGAGCAGGAGGAGCAGGAGGCTGGAGATAAGGGTGGAGTTGAGGAGGGAGGGCGAAGGGCGACGAGGAAAGATGGCGATGATGATGTAGATGTTGATGTTGATGATGCTGAAGATGATGATGATGCTGATGATGATGATGATGTTGATGATGATGATGTTGATGTTGATGTTGATGTTGATGTTGAGGTTGGTGGTGATGATGATGATGATGATGATGGTGATGATGATGATGCTGATGGTGGCGATGATGATGAGGAGGAGGATGATGATGATTAGGATTGTGAGGATGATGATAATGATGATGGTGATGACGATGATGCTGCTGATGATGCTGCTGATGATGATGCTGATGATGATCATGAGGAGGAGGAGGAGGAGGAGGAGGAGGACTAAGGAGGAGGCAGAGGAGGTGGGAGTGACGCAGGGAGGAGGAAGGCGGGGAGGAGGACTGAGGAGGAGGAGGAGGAGGAGGGAGGCAGACACAAAGGACCCGAAGATAGGGTGGGCATCGGAGGAAGCAGAGAGAAGTGCGGAGGCTGAAGGACAGAAAGAAGCTCGGAGGTGGGGGGGGGGGGGCGACAGCGACGTGGGCCCACCCAGGAACATCTGCTTGCTTTCGGCTTGTGCCGCGCGGGCGAGCGAGTGCGAAGCTTCGCGAGGGCGACGTGTCGGTGCGTGTGTGGGGGGCCGAGGCCGTGCAACGAGGCTCCTCTCCAGTGTGCGAGGCTGCACGTCGCGGCTGTCCCGCGGGCTGTCCCGCGGGCTGTCCCGTGGGCTGTCCCGCGGTGTTGCCGCAACGCCCCATGGTTGGTCCTGCGGGCCGTGGCCCCGTGGGCTGTCCCGCGGGCCGTTCCGTGGGGTGCCCCGCGGGTGTCCCGCGGGTTTTCCCGTGGGGTTGTCCCGAGGCTGTCCCGCGCAGGGTGCAATCCGAAACGCAGGCATCACTGCAGACGCTTGGAACGCAGATCGACATACACGTAGATACGCACGTCGCCTTACAGATCGAATCTAAAGTCGAACCGCCAAGCGAATTGAACATCAAATTGCAAGTCGAGTCGAGATGCACATCGCATTGCAGTCGACATGCGCATCGGACTACACATCGAAATCCAGCTGACACTGCATTCGACGTGCACGTCGATATCGACATCGGATCGCAATCGAAATGCACATCGAAACGCATGTCGAAAATCCATCCGACGTGCACATCGGAACGTGCATCGATGGGCACATCGAATCGCAATCGTAGTACACATTCAAAGTCACATCGAAATCCTCAGTGACCTCCCAGGTACTCTTGATATTGCTAAGGCCTTATTCTGGGGACGTTTCTGACAATTGTTGGATATTGCTAAGGCCTTACGGCCAGTGCCGCCGTTCCTGGATACCTCGGCCCTGGAGGTTGACGGGATGCGTGATAAGACGTCGGAGCTAAATGAAGACGTGGCGGCGGAGGAGTAGGCGGAGGAGGAGGAGGAGGAGGAGGAGAAGGAGGAAGGGGAGGAGGAGGAGGAGGAGGAGGAGGAGGAGAGAGGAGGAGGAGGAGGAGGAGGAGGAAGGAGGAGGAGGAGGAGGAGGAGGAGGAGGAGGAGGAGGAGGAGGAGGAGGAGGAGGAGGAGGAGGAGGAGGAGGAGGAGGAGGAGGAGGAGGAGGAGGAGGAGGAGGAGGAGGGAGGAGGAGGAGGAGGAGGAGGAGGAGGAGGAGGAGGAGGAGGAGGAGGAGGAGGAGGAGGAGAGGAGGAGAGAGGAGGGAGAGAGGAGGAGAGAGGAGGAGGAGGAGGAGGAGGAGGAGGAGGAGGAGGAGGAGGAGGAGGAGGAGGAGGAGGAGGAGGAGGAGGAGGAGGGAGGAGGAGGAGGAGGAGGAGGAGGAGGAGGAGGGAGGAGGAGGGAGGAGGAGGAGGAGGAGGAGGAGGAGGAGGAGGAGGAGGAGGAGGAGGAGGAGGAGGAGGAGGAGGAGGAGGAGGAGGAGGAGAGGAGGAGGAGGAGGAGGAGGAGGAGGAGGAGGAGGAGGAGGAGGAGGAGGAGGAGGAGGAGGGAGGGAGGAGGAGGAGGAGGAGGGAGGAGGAGGAGGAGGGGCAGGTGGAGGGGGAGAGGGAGGGAGAGGGAGAGGGTCGCCCGGGGGGATGCGTTTCTGCCCCCCCCCCCGGTGGGGAGGGTAGGGAGGGGCTTCGCCACGACTACGATTTCCTTCTGTTTCGTGTTTGATTTCCTTTTACTTCGGGCGACGACGATGACGACGACGACGGTGATCCACGCAAGACGACGACACCGGGATGCGTCGTCCACACGCCGACAGGGTCGGCGGATTTTTGGAATATGTTTTGATTGTTTTTGATTTTTCCCAAAATCGGCATGTAGGGTGACATGCCCGACCTAAGACTTCAGTCTAGCAGACGTAAGATTCGAGTACTCTGGAACTCGGGTTCGCCTGCGCTTTTTGTCAAGCAGTGGCGAAGCGTTCTGGCTCGCCTATAGCCCTACCAAACAATGTTCTAAGAACCTTTTGTGGTTTCCACGGAATGTTCTTAGAACATTTCTGGTTGGGACTGTCTTGTTTTTTATCACATCGGGTCTGTGTTCTAAGAACATTGTTTTGTTCTTGGAACATTTTGGGATTCTAAGAACATGTCGTGGTAGGACTATAGGAATGCCGGGACGGTCGGTCCCTGCTCAATTTTGGCGAGCCAGTCCTGAGTTGCCCGTCCTGAGTTTGGACGGTCCCGTTTTCGTGGGAGGACTGCAACGGGAGCCCGCGTCAAATTTAAGCCCAATCGAGTCATTTTCATGATGGCCCCGTCGGGCCAACACGAGTCCCCTTCACCCCAGTCTTGTGTCCCCCGATCCAGTCGAGCAGCAAAACGCGGCAACAACAAACGTTTTCGCAGTTCCGGGCGGACTTCTCAGATCGGCGCTGGGACCGCTCTGGTGGCGCCTCTGGCGCCAACCCCAGCGCGCCAGGGAGTATGGTTCTGGCGCAGATCCACGATCTCCGCGCAGACCTCCGAACGTCCATTGTTAATTATGCAGGTTGTTTGTTCCGCCTACCAGGAGCGGTGCAGGGGTTGCCAAGGAGGTAGGGAGGGTAATTATCTGAGGATGCCGAGGTGTGTTATATCCGGCCTAGCCTGGCTCAGCTGTGGGTTACAGGTGGCCCGAGTGGTTTAGTGCTCTTAGTGGCTTAGATGGGTTCGAGGTAAGATAACTCGGCCAAGTGAGTGGAGCCATTTAGCATGAATCGCTAACCCCACCAAGCCAACCGGGGCACTTGCAACCCACATGACACAAGCCAGGCTGGGCCTGATATCATCCACATTGGCTGGCATCCACGGTTCAACCCCCTGATCCTCTCAATCAGCAGCCCCCGGCGCCGATCCCAGTGGACAGGGCGCATCGCCACCGTCGGGGTGGCAGTGGACAGGGCGCATCGCCACCGCCGGGGGGCGTCGAGCCGGCGGACCTCGTGGCCCTCACCTTCTCTGTCGATGGCGCCCTCGTCCTCCTCCTCCTCCTCCTCCTCCTCCTCCTCCTCCTCCTCTTCCTGCTCCTGCTCCTCCTCCTCCTCCTCTTCCTCGTCCGCTGTGGCTGGTTCAGTGAACGCAGTTTGGGCCGCCCCGCAGCACGGGGCAGCCCTGCGTGCCACGGGGCTGCTCGGGGCTCATCTCCCCCCGGGGTGCCGCGGCTTCGCAGCTCGCCGTGGAGGCCGGGGCGGGGCGCCCCCAGAGGGCTGACGGCGCCCGGGGCAGCGGCGGCGCCTGTGGTGGAGAGAGAGGGCCTCCGAGGCCTCCCGAGGTGTGCGGGCGACCTGCGAAGACCTCTGCAGCTTGCCTCCTCCCTCATCTTCCTGCTCCTCCTCCTCCTCCTCCTCGTCCTCCTCTTCGTCTTGCCTCCTCCTTCCTCCTCCTCTTCCTCCTCCTCCTCTTCATCATCTTGCCTCCTCCCTCCTCCTCCTCCTCCTCCTCCGCCTCCTCCTCCTCCTCCTCCTCCTTATCCTCTTCCTCTTCCTCCTCCTCGCCCTCCTCCTCCTCCTCCTCCTCCTCCTCCTCGTCCTCTTCCCCCTTGGCCAGGAATGCGCGGTCACCCCGGCAAACTTGCCGATGCGATGCGTCCGATCCGCTGGTGGGCCCGCTTCGTGTGCTGCCACAGGGTCCCTGGTGGGTGCTCGTGCCCTGGGCCGTGTGCGTCGGGACGGCCCCCCTTCGAGGGGCAGCAGGCTTGTTTTACTTCTTGGGCCAGTCTCCTCGTGCTCCTCGCTCTTGACCGTCCGTCCCCTCGTGCGTGGTTGGGTCGTTCCTCCCCCTGTCGACGTCATCCCAGCGTCGTGGGAAGGTTGGCAGAGCTGACGACGGCGACGTGCTCGGCGCGCTGACCTTCGAGACTGGCAGCCTGCGACCCGCCAGTGGGAGGGTGCGGAGAGCACTGGGGCGACCTAGGCACGAGTGGGCGGAATGTTTATACGAAAAAGTCGCCCCGCGCTTCGCTTCTGAAGCCGCCGTGCGGAACTGCACTGGCGACGCACACAGCCGGCGCCATCTCGCTGCGAATTTCGCAGTCCACGCTCAAGTTCAATTCATTACTGCCAGCAGCAAGCCAAGCCTGCTGCCATATTCCGCCTACGCGCCAGACGGCGATTGGCTCCTCTGGGTCTGACTCGGTCAACAGCTCGGGAAACGACATACTACAAAATGTGTGTAATCTCTATGTTCGGGTCGGACGCGCACCCCATAGGCTTGGCATCGTTCGGACGTGTGCATTTTTCCTTGGGCGAGGACCATCGAGGAGCATCCTTGACCATTTGGCGAAAAAGCCACGCACGAAACCGACAAAAAAACACAGGGAATGGACGTCCGAACGATGGCGAGTAGGAGGACCTATAGTACCAGTATGTCATTGTGCGTCCCATCCTACTTCCCCCATCGCTCCTTTCGCGCCATCGTTCGTTATGCGCCCCCCAGGCTCAGCGCAAGCAGAGGGTGGACGGGCGCCTTCTGGCTGCGAGGCATCCCTGCTCGCTCGCCACTGCAGAGAACAGAAGCACGGCGTAAGTTTGGCGTGGACGTCTCGGTGGTTGGTGCGATGGTGGAGCGCCGGCCCGGGAGGGCCGCGGCGCGGGCCGCAGAACAGTCGCATCCAGTGCCCCCTCTGCTCGCCTGTGGCCCTCGTGGCGGCTGCCGCTGGGGCTTGGGTCGGAGGGGCCAGACATGCGCATCACGTCGTTTGGTCGGCTGGGGATCCAGGGGTCTCGGCAAAGGAACTCGGCGTGGACGACGGCGAGGACGACGACGGCGGCGACACGCCACGGCACCCGCCGCCGCCCCGGCCTCGAGCGTCGAGGGTCGAGGGTCGAGAGGGTGGGGGGCCCCTGTCGCCGCCCGGCCGTCCCCCCGAGGCGCGGCAAGGGGCGGCTTCGGTGCCCCGCTGGTTGGTGGGCAGCCGGGATCTCCACGCGCCGAGCTCCCTGGGGTGCAGCGGGCACCTCGGAGAAGACGTCGGCCCCCCGGCAGGTGCCCCGCAGAAGTGTCCGATGCCCCACGTGGCCCCGGGGGGCCCCCAGCGGCCCATGGGGCACCTCTGGGCCGTGAGACCTCGACTGGAAAGGTGCCCCCTCGACTTCTCCTGGGGCGGCGCCCTGACTGGAGGGGGCGACCGCGGGAGTCCCGTTCTTCGTCCGCCGGAGGGCGGGCTTTTGTGACCCGAGATGGGGACCACGCCTCTGGAGACGAGCTGCGTGCAGAATTCCTTGCCCCGGCGAGCGAGCTCAAGCAGTGCGAAGCGGTCCCCCGCGCGGCCGAATAAAAATGATAACGATCCTCCCCGCACCTGCTCTGCATGTGGCCCCTCCCCATCGCCAAGGCGCCAGCGGGGCGCCGCCCGCCACGTTTGCGCCCCCCCCCCCCCCCCCCCCCGCCCCCCCCCCCCCCCTCCCTGGCTGCGTCTTTCGGCACCTCCCCGAGGAGCAGCGCACGCGCAGACCGAGGAGCCCAGCGAGCCCGCGGACCGAGGCGCGGCGGTGCCCAGCTGCGAGAACCGGCCACCGCTGAGACCCTGAGATCCGGGCGCCGCGCTTGCTTCGCACGGGGCGCTTCCGCCCGGCTGCTTCGGGCCCTGGGGCCCTCACAGAGCGATGCGGCTCGAGGCATGCCGCAGTATGGTGGGGTCTGGGCTTCCGGTCGTGGTTTGCCACCGTGTTGCAGGGGTTCGAACAGGTACCCATACCCACATTCCCATCTTGTTACCCTCTTCTCGTTGTCCCCTTCTTGGGCCCCCTCGGGAGGCCCTCGTCGCCACCGCGGGGTTCGCCTCGAAGTTCTGGTCGGAGAGCAGCGGCGTTGGCCCCTCGTGGTCTCCCCACTTGTCCCGCCCCCCGGACTGGGCGTGGACCAGGGCTGGACCTGGCCGCCGTCTTGCTGGGCCTCGGCTGTGTCTCGTTTTTCGTTCTGGCAGGGAGGCACAGGGGAGACAGGCCGAGCGGAACGAGCCACAGAGCGAGAGCAGAGCGAAACACAGCGCTGGGCCCAGCCCCGGCGCGGACGCGTGCTCAGCGGCCAGCCCCGCGGGGCAGCCTCGCGGGGCGGGTCGTCCCGGAAGGCTCGGAAGGCCTCCTTGGCCTTCCGGGACGGCCCTGCCCGGAGGCACAGGAGAGACTTCTCTGAAGGGGCCCCAGGACACACAAATACATACACACACATAAAAATATTCACTATATTTTCCTATGTTTTCTGCGTTTCTGTCTTCCCCCCACTTCCCATATTTTCCCATATTTTCTGGGGAATCGACGATGAATTGTGTTTGTGTGTGTTTTTGTTCCCTCCTGATTCTCAGCAGGCGCGAGGGGCCTCTGAGGAGCCCCGGCCGCCCTCTGAGGGGGCGGGCCCCCTCTCGGTTCCCCCCCTGCGCATGCGGCCGATCTGCCCTTGGCCTCCTATAGCTGGGGTCTGAGTGGATGGGGTCGGAGGCTCGCGCCGCACCGCCGATGCATCGGCGATGCGGCGCGATGTGGGGCCCAATTCTCTCCACGCCGACGTCGCAGATGCACCGCCGACCTCGTCAGTGCATCGCCGATGCATCGCCGGACATCGGCGATGCATCGCCGATGTATCGGCGATGCAGCGAGATCCTCCGACATCTACTCGGACCCCATCTAGGAAGCCTCTCTCTCTATATATATATATATATATATATATACACATACACACATATATATAATATATATATATATACACGCATGACGCTGCTGATGTCGCCGTCATGCTTACCCTTTCCCCGCTTCCCGAGCAGAGCGAGACATTCTGCTTACCTCCGGCTGCGAACGTTCAGGCTTGCACTCGCAGCAGGAGCACATGCTGTTATAGCCATGGTGCGGCCCCAGTCTACACTTGCACTTGGAGAACGTTGGGTTTCTGCGGCGCAGAAGAACGGTTTGGGCCCTTCACACCCAATGGTCAGGAACTTTTGTGTAGCGTGCCACGCCCGCGGTTCTGACCCACGCCTCGGCGCGACGCGCTGACCATGCCCAAGTCCCGATACGCTATCCGCTTGCAGGACATAGCACGTCGCCGGGGCCGCCGCCGCGACACGCTAAGCAAAGGGTTCAGAGCATAGCGCCGCAGGGCCCGCCCTCCACCCCCATCCTTCCGAGGTCCGAAGAACAAATTACTGTTGGTTTCCCTCCCCTTCCGCCCTCGAGGAGTGCGTCCCGCCCCCTCCCCTGGAGGCTCGAGGAGCGCGGCTTGATTCACGGATCTCCCCTTCCCTTCCGCCCGCAAGGGGGTGGCCTTGCCCCCCCCCCTTGAGGATCGAGGAGCCATGCTTCGGCCCTCCCCCCCCCTCCTGGAGGATCGAGGATCGAGGATCGAGGTCGTCGCCGTCGTCGTCGTCGTCGCCGTCGTCGCCGTCGTCGTCGTCGTCGTCGTCGTCGTCGTCGTCGTCGTCGCCAGGGTCGCCCGTGTAGGCATCCCGAGGAGGTCCGCGACGGGCCTGGCCACCGTCACGTCCTGGAGAAGCAGCCGCCCAGCTCCGCCACCACGAGGCCAGCACGCACTGGCGGCCAGCTCGCGGTCGCAGGCGCCCGCCCTGGTGTCGCCCTCGCCGCCAGGCTTCGGGCAGCGGCACCACCGTCGGCGGGCTCACCTGGGCGAGCACTCTCTGGCCTGCCCGACGTATCCCAGCGTCTCGTCAGCCACAGCTCATGCCGAGCCTGGAGGGCCGCTTCCAACGTCGTGGGGTCCCATCGCAGCTGCGGTGTCAAGGCGCCCACCCCGCCTTGCGCGCGCAATCGCGTAGAAGCGCTCGGTACTGACCCTCGGTGTCCGACGCTGCGACAGCCTCGCAAGGCCAGGACATCACACAACAAACACACAATCTCTCTCTCTCTCTCTCTCTCTAACGTCACGTGCCTCTCTGGAGAGGGTTGGCAAGGTTGGCAGGCAGCGGACTTGCGCGCTTAATGCTTGTCTTTCACTTGTGCAGCTGGCTCGGCGCAGGGCTCGGCGCAGTGTGAGCCTCCCGTAGTCATCACCAAGCGCCCCTGCGCAAACCGCCGCCTTCGCCCTGGCGCGCATGCCCAGTTGGAGTCAGGGCCGATGGAGGGCGACCCGAGCCAAAGCGGCAATGGACGTCCTCGTCCGCCTCCTCCTCGATGGACCACGGTCGTCCGTCGGAGCTCCCCATGGGCGCGTTCCGACCAAGATCTTGAGGCGGGCCTCCCCTCCCCCCGGGAGGCTCACAGGTGACGAGATCATCGGGGGGCCCCAAACGGTGCGGTGACCACACCGTGCGGTGAGTCGGTGGGGATTCGGGGTCCCCGCACGGTTTTGGGGCTCGAGTCGTTCTCCGAGGGCGTCTCGGGCGACAGGGGCCTCCAGGGTCCCCAAACCGTGCGGTGACGGACCGTGCGGTGAGGTCTTGGGGGATTTCGAGATCACCGCACGGTCCGTCACCGTACCGTTTCGGGACTCCAAAGATCAGCACAGTCATACGGGCATCGCTGTAGTTTGCATGAGCGGAATCGTCATCGTTGTCCGTGTGCTCGTGGTTGTTGTGTCTGTGGAGGCCCTTCTCGTCTTTCCTGCCTTCTGCGTCCTCTGCCGTTCCTCCCTCCTCCCGCTCAAGCCTCCTCCTGCCTCCTCCTCATCCTGTTTCCTCCCCCTCCTCCTGCCTCCTCGTCCCCCTCCATCTCCCCCTCGCCCCCGCAGGCCAGGCGCGAGTGGGCAAGCGGCCCGAATCCCGAGGAACTCCACGAAGCCTGGAGCCCCGCCCGAACCCCCCAAAAGAGCGGTCTCTGCCTCGGCGCCTGGGCTGGAAGGGGGGCGCCGATGGAAAGCCCTCGGGCCCCCGAAGCATGCAGTCTCCTCCTCCTCCTCCTCCTCCTCCTCCTCCTCCTCCTCCTCCTCCTCCATCTCCTCCTCCTCCTCCTCCTCCTCCTCCTCGTCCTCCTCCTCCTCCTCCTCCTCCTCCTCCTCCTCCTCCTCCCGCCCCCCCTGTCCCCGCCAGCGCCTCCAGGCGAGGAGGGCGGCGGCCTGGCCATGTTCCACCTCCCCGACGGGGACGAGGACGACGTCGGCTGCGGCGACTCCTCCGCCTGGGACGACGACAACAACGTCGCCGACAGGCTCCCCCTTCTCCCCTCTCCTAGCGCGGCGGCGGCCCGTCGCCTCGCCTCCCTCCCCGCCCCCATCCCTCGTCCCCGTCTTGGGGTGAGGTATAGGTATCTGGTCCCTCCGCCCTCCCGATCCCCCCCAAAACCAGAGGGGCGGGGGGATGTTTGGGACGACGACAACAGTGTCGCCCACAGGCTCGGGGAGGGGTAAGCAGAAATGTCCCGCCGTCGCCGGCAACACCAGCGCTGCACGGCGGGCACGTCTGTGCCATGCCCGTGCTCCAGGGGCCGTGCCCGGGCCCCAGGAAGGTCAAGCAGGGGTCGACCTCAACGGTGTTGTTGCGATTTCGTGGGCAGTCTTCGTTTTGATCTCGTTTCGCAGCAAAGGAAGACCGAAGGCAGAACGAAGGAAAACAACAACAACAACATGAAGACGAAAGCCACTGTTCAGCTCGAGCCCTGGGCGACAGAAACAATCGCGGTCTTGGTTGGGGATGGGGTTGAGGGCTTCGGGGTGCCACGTCGCGAAAAAGCACGTTGTCAGAGAGATGTGGGCCTCTGCCACCCTCAGGGGGCGGATCTGGCCACATGTTCCTCCTTTTCCGATGCAACGCATCACGCTTCGCTTCGGTTCACATCTTCCCAACGCCATTCAATCTATTAGCGCTCGTCAGCTATCTCCGAGTCGCCGGCAGTCCGTGTTGCTGGTCCGCATGTGCGGCACATCTCGGCACAGTCCGCAGGATGGGTCACACGTGTTGAGCGCACCATTGCGGCACATCATGATCAGCCCCTTGGTCAGGTATCTCGTGCTGCGGACCCGTTTTTCCAGGAGCGCCGTGCCCGGCAAGCAGCCAGTCTTCGTGACGCGCCGCTGCAGGAGAAAGGCGCCAACTGGTGTGCCCGTGTGCTGCTGGTGCTCGTGCGGGTACAGGAACATCGTGAGCGTGGCAACGGGTCACGGCAGTCGGCCTACTTGTAAGTCGGGCCTGTCCCTACTTGTAAGTCTCGTGGTCAGAAAATACTCAGGGGGTCTATTCTTTGAGTATTTTTTGACCATTGTGGAGTATTTGCTGCGTATTTTTTATTCTTTGTCAAACATCTCCCTACTTATGTGGACTCGGAGCTCGTCTGGCTTCCGATGTGCCCGACGGGGCCCGCAAGATGTTGCCGCCGAGCGCTGCCGAACACTTGGGAGCAGTGGTCAGAGCGTGAATTACCTACCCCGCTTTCGCTTCCAGGCAAAACCAAGTCATACCACGCGCCTCCTCGTCAAGCGGCCTGACCAGTACAGGCCGTAGTTTGGCATTGCTTGGTATCTCTTGGAAGCGAGGGTGGTCAAAAGCGAGGTAGGTTTGTTTGCCCCCTAGATCAGCTGAGTTCTGGTTGCACATATTTTTCACCCCAGTGATGTGATCGGCGAGCACAATGCCGAGTAGCATTCGTCGTGGTGCGATCCAGATTCTGAGAGTGGCGAGCTCCTGCAGCATCTTGCTGATGTTCGCGAGTGGGCTCGCATGCAAGCTCTTGCACCCACTGACAGGGAGGAGGTTCGTAATGCGGCCGCTCACATGGAGGAGTCGACCAGCTGACACCTCTGGACATCCAGAGACTCCCTCCCGAAGGGCATGCGGGTGTGGAGTCTCTCCTGATCGCGGTTGAGGACTGCGGTCTGTGACCTACACAGTTATTGATTGTGCCCGGCCGCTGGCTACCCAAGATGGCAGGCGGCGATCGCATCTTTGGCCTGTTGCCGATTGTGTGACGCCTCTGCACCCTCACCCGCGAGGCCTACACCAAGCCCTGGTCGATGGACAGTTCCAGCTGGGACGCGGCCATCGCGGGGAACTTGGTTTTGCAGGAAGCCTTCCCCAAGGCCGTGGACATGAGTGGCACGTTCGGCTTGGCGCACCGCGTGGGTATGCACTTTTGGATGGTCAGTTTTGTTTGCGATTTGGTCAAGTTCGGGGGCGGCGAAGAGGGGGGTGATGACTAGGTGGGGGGGTGGATATCATGGCGTGGGCCATGAGATTTGCCCAGATCTCATGGCGCCTCTCCTCATTCCACTGCGTCCCTGGCCCCCACCCCCATGTGCTGCGCACGTGCCGCCGGTCACGATCTGCACCCCCCCCTCTTGGACGCCCCGCTCTTCCGGGAAACGAGCAGTGACATCAACACAAAGACTCGGAGGTCCGTGCGGATTTCTCGGATCGGCGCTGGAGGCGCCTCCCTGGCGCGCAGAGCGCGCCGGGGGCGGCGCCGGAGGCGCCGCCAGGGGGGCCGGGCGCGCGCTCACCGCGCCTACCTCTCCGGCTCGGGAAGCGGGTCAGGCTCGGGCGGCGCTTGCCGCACGTCATGACTGAGAAGCTTTGCACCGCGCGTGCCGCCCATTCGCCACGGATGTCAGGCCAGCCACAGCTGGGGGAGCCGTGGTCCTTCCCCCCCTGGGGGGGCCCATCGACTTCGACGCCCCTCTTGGAGGCATCGTCGAGGCGATGGGCTCCCCCAGGGCGGTAAGGGCCACGGCTCCCCCAGTTGTGGCTGGTCGGGATGTGGGTACGGCAGGTTCGTGCCGTGTCGACCGGCGGCGACCCCGCCAGCGGCGTTCTTTTTTGAGTGCCGCGGGCGACCCGGAATCGTTCGACGCGGGACGGAATGGGCGTTTCGGAAGCGGCCGATCGTTCAAGGCTGAACGATCCCCGCGGTGTCAGAAACCAACGCCGAAGTCGGCACGACACGAGCCTGGCGTAGATGGTTCGAATCTAGGGCACGTCGGGTCACGGCTTGCAGTGCGCAGCGCCTTGGTTCGCGGGGTGGTCACGATTAGGGATTGCCTGGCTAAGGTTGGGCTGAAGCTCGCGGCCAAAAGTGCCATCCTGTGCGACTCCATGCCAGACGCCAAGTATGTGTCCAGAGCTTTGTGAAGGAAAGGGCTCGAAATTCAACCCGTCCTTCAAGCCAGTTATCTTGGTGTCGATCTTGGCGGTGGAAGGCGCGTGGCACGAGCATTCAGAAGGCGGCGCATCAGGAAAGCTGGGGCGTGCAACGAGAAGCTTCGCCGACGCGCTTTTGCGTCCAACTGTCACGCGGCTTCTAAGAAGATCGAGTTTGCAAGTCCGCAAGCTGCAGCGGCATATGCACACCGCGAGCATGGGGTATTCGGGGCTCAACGCCAACTCCTTCGCCGTCAGCTTGGGCCCGTCTCAGGAGCGCGCCAAAGGCGCGCGATGCCTGAAGACACTGCCGGGCCTGCGTGCACATCGGCAGGAACCGGGAGTTCGACTTCCGCAGCGTTGCTTGCCTCAGCGGCTGCGGACGACGCGGATCGGCTGCCCCATCGTGCGCGCCAGTTTTCGGAGAGTGCTGGACCCAGTCGTTCGACTTTTCGGCACGTTTGGAGTCAATGAGCGAGCTCGGCATGTGCACGGGCCCACGTCGGCGGGGGTTACCTACCTGGTGGACGCAGGGTGGGACCCATACCACCGTCGCAGTGGAGTCGTCCAGGTGAGCTCGGCTTGGAGCCAGTTAATCTGATGTGTCTAGACGAGAATATCGAGTCGCAGTATGCTGACACCTCAGAGAGGCAGACTCTGGATCACCAACAGTTGGCAGCAGCTGCAGACGAGCACTGCGGCAGTGGACTCGAGCGCGGAGCTGATAACGAATCGTCGCGGCGGTTCCTTGCGAGCCTGCGCGAAGGGCCACCCGGGCATCAATGCTCCGAGCTCATGCTGGCCATCGACGCAGGTGGGTGTTGGGCGCGAGCCAGGACATTTGCCGCGGGTCTTCGTTCTTCCCCGTGTGTCTGCGGTGCAAGCAGACCCCAGAGGACATGTTGCATTGTGGCTAGCTTGGCGGTGCCAGCGCCGATGCCGATGCTTTCACCGAGCCCGACAGCCTCTCGCCTACAGCCCCTGCTTAGAGCGATGCTGGTCGCTGCCTGTGGCTGGGAGGCGCGACGCCCCCTGGTTGTTTTCGGAGACGCATCTGGCGAACCTGACAGTCAGCACGGTGCTCTACGGCTCGTGGGGCGCGGCGTCGCTGTCGTGACCGACGCGGAGGCGATGACCATCGGGCCCATGGTTGCAAGGCCGCTGCCAGGACGGGTTCGGTCTGCCCCTCAAGGCGAACTCCGTTGCCTCGAGGTCCCCATCCGAGGGTCGGTTGGACCCGCCGTGTACATCACATACAATGAGAATGTATGTCGAGGTTGGTAGGCACGAATGTATGTAAGCGTTGACAAGAACGAGCTTTGCGGATGGTGGGCTGAGAGTGGCGCTTTTCTCTCACTGCAGAGACGCGATCTTTGCGATAGTGTTGTCGCGCAGGTTTCACCTCACCGGTCCGCTTTTGGAGCTTGCGAGAAGGGGTTCCCACAGTGGGTGATTCGTGGCAATGAAGTGGCTGACGCCCTCGACGAAGGCGCCGAAGGACGTTGTAGGGCTCCCGAGTTTGTCCGCGGCCGTCTAGCTACAGTTGAGGCACTTGTTTAATCGGGAGGCGCCTGTTGAATCGGGAGGCGCCTGCTTCGGGTCGCGCGGGAGGCCGCGGCCGCTGAGCGCGAGGTCGCGAGGGCTGCTGCGCCTTGCGAAGGTGACCGTGCTCCGCTCGTGGCCGCCCCGCCCCCCCCCCCTCTCTCTCTCCCAGCGGCCGCAGCTCTGTTGAATTCTGCGCGCACGTTCATCGAATGTGTACTCCAATGCACCACGCGCCGCAGCAGCGGCACCAAGAGCACCCCTCCGGAGTGGTTCGCCTCTCCTCGTCTTCCCTCGGAGCACGCTGGTTATGCAATCTTCTCTCGGGGGGCTACAGGTCGGAAGCTGCACTTGGCAGGGGGGTGGGCTCCCGAGTCGCGTGCGCCTCTTTTCCCCCACACCCTGGGGGTCAGGATCTGTGGGGCTTGCGGGTGTTGCTTCACGGCTAACCTACAAGCAGGGCTCACACGTGAGTGTGGCCCCATGGCCCTCGATGCCGCCAGGAGGTCGTACCTGGATCGGTTTCGTAGATGGCTC